GAGATTCTTAGAGGGCAATTAGCATGAATTAATGAGTTTTAATGTGCAAATACTCCCATTTTAAGTTCTCTTAGTACAATCTAAATGTAATGTGTAACTTCACCCAGCTCACAGAGGCAGCCTGCTCTCGCCCCACATGCAGATCTGGGGGCATGTGCCCCCATGCCGTCCTGTGGTGTGCACAATGGTGGGAGCCAGACCCACCCCCACTTCCCACACCCCCTGGAGAAGCTGCAACTCTGTTCCATCCCCCACCTTGGCTGGGCAGTGCCTGCTTCAGCCCCTGCCCCACTTCCTCCCTCACTCCAGAGGCCTCAATCTTCCCCCCACCATGCTTCTTTCCTTTCCCCTCCCCTTCCACCAGAGCAGACTTACCAGCCAGACACTGCTCTTCAAGCTGCTGGGCTGAGTCAGAAATCAGATCGGTATTGGCCAATATGCCTCCTTAAAAATCGGCTATCGGTATCTGCCCAAAAAATGTCTATCACCCCTAAATTTTACAAAAAAACTACATTTTTTTGTAGTTTTCTTTACAGAAATGATTTATCAATTTTTGGCATATTTCCTAATGGAAAAATGTGTGCTTTTTCTGCATATTATTTGGACCTAGTGGCAATTTTTTACAATTTTTGACCAATATTTCACTGGTCAGTTGACTGAGTTTTATTTGACCAGTCAAATACCCAACCCTAGGCTTGAGTAAGAGCACTGTGTGTGCGCTTCTGAAGGAAGAATTTAGCACAAATTGATGGCTAATAGAGCTCTCTCAAAGAAGAAAACTCAGTTTTGTAATCTGTTCTCTTCTGGTTGCTGGTGGGTATGATAAACCTGATACAAAGCCCATTGAAGTCAATAAGAATCTTTCTACTGAGGCCCTAGGTTGCACAACATTAAGTTAGTAGGAACTTTGCTAGTAACTTCATGACATGGACTCAAGTGCTGTGTGAATAAATCATGATGTGCATATTTAAAAAAAGTTGGAGGGATAGAGCAGCAGTGTGAATATTACACATGTAATATTTTCAGTTAGTTGTGTTTTGGTAATATTAAGGGGGAAAAATAAAATTTTCTAGGTGTTGATAAAACCTAAATTCACTTGATAATCTCTTATGTAAATTGTATGCCTCAGAAGCTGGAACATGAGTATTGCTAGAAAACGGCTCTCGTAATTCATATGCTTGCTTTTAGGGAAAAAGAAAGGGAAGACTATTTTCTAATACAAATTTTTCCTGGAAGTTTGTATCCTTTTACCTAGTGCCTGCACTTAACTTGTAATTTTTCTGCACTAGTTACATTTTAAGGTCAGCACAATGAGATACTAAGAAAATTACAGACTTAAGTGCTTTTCATAATTTCAGAACCCTGTGCCACTATATTGGCCACTGTATTACTCCAGCTTAACTCTGGAGTAATACAGTTTATGCCAGTTTAACTCTGATGAAATAATTGAAATAACACTTTTTTTTAACTGCAGTAATGCAGCAAGGACTGTTAGACCTGATAGAAGTAATGGAACTGGAAGTCAAAAGGTTGCATGCTGGGAGTAGAGAGTACCACAGAGCAGCATTATAAAAAAAAATGTTGGCACTTCAGCTACTGTAGGAATTGGGACCATATATTATATGTATCTAAATTAAATTAATACAGTCAAGCATTATAGAGAAAGTTCCTTTTAAAGAAAGCAGTTTTCTGTACAAAAGGTAATGGACACTTAGTATGAAATTAATCTATTGTGCACACAGGACTGTTGAATAGATGCATTTATTTTTTAACATCACCTCTATTTTTTTATCCATTACTGCCTGTGGTATACTGCCCTTGGAATATTCTCTCTATCCCAGTAAAACCATCCTTTCTGAGGGTGTCATGTAATGTTATTATTTCAGAATAGAAACTGCAGCTTGTTGCAGCCTGTGCTAAATCAGGCATAGTGGCTTCATGCTTTTCATAGAGAACAGAAATGAGATTGTCTAGCTGTGTTGTATAGGGGGCAAATATTATCATCCTTTTATTTATTAAGCCACCTGGACATTTCTGTACAGGAAGTCATTGGGTGTGTTGGTTGGTGCTGAGTCAGCATACAAGTCATTACTCTCAGCTAAGATGCCTTTCTTATCTCTGTCTTGCAGTGGGCTTTTGTGCACCAGTTGGCATGAAGAGGACTTGGCACTACTTGTACATGAAGAAATATCCAGTGCAGAGAGTGTTGATGATTAAGCAAAGAATTCACCTACCTTCATTTTCTAATCTTCTGGCACAGACTGTTTGTACATACAGTGAGGGTGAAGAGAGTATGGTAGTTGTAGATGCAATATGTAGCCCTGTCACGATTCCTGCTAAACTGCTAATATTTCTAGTCTTCCTACTTAATGTTTTAGTCCTTATACTTAACTACATGACATAGTGGTTTACTTTGCCCTAAGTTGAAGTGATGTTAAACACCACTTTAATTTAGGGAGAATTAAACCCCTGTGTCATGTACACCTGTGTCCGCCTGATCCTAACCTGTCCCTCCAGTGGCAGGGAGAGGAGAGTGAGTTGCTGGTGGGCAGGGCAGCAGGGTGGGGGCAGGTACTTCCCTTCACAGCAGCGGAA